AATCGATTGCCCTTTGTGGAGGAGATATGTCTAATGACTAATGTCGTCGCGTAGCAAATCGCGCGCCGCTAAGGATAATTTCAAAAGCCGTAACCTTGTCACGCGAGAAGCGTGTGAAATTTTGTGAACGGACACCACAAGACCGCGTTTGGCGTTTTAGGAAAATCGCGTTTTAAATACATGTCAATTTTTCCGGAATGTATTCACAAAAACAAAAACAAGTGGCAATTTAAATCGCGATTTCTCTCTCGTCTACTGTTGTGTAGCAAACGCGGCAATTTCTCTTCTATGGTGCAAACGATGTCGTATGTGTGTTAACCTTATTTAAATAAAAATTTCAGGCGAATGGATTTGTGTGTAGTCATCCTTGGCTTCACATATGGTCTACAAAACAATTGGTTAATGTCTCTTAAGGAAAAAAAAAAACAAAACACGAAATTAGCTTACTTACTACCGTCTCAGTTTCCGTCATGATGGATTAAGGATTTTGCTAATTTGGTTGGTTTATTATCGCAAGTGCCATATTATTTTCATTTTAATCTTTGCCAAAGATACACTTATGGGCCGAAAACTTCCGAATAGGCCCAAGTCTAGCCCATAGGATGTGGCGGCTGTTGTGTAAACGCGAGGTTAGTATCGTCATTTCGAAAGGCTCTTGAATTTCGCGTTTTCACAGACGCTTGGTTCTAGGGTTCTTATTTCCTTCCTTCTCCGTTCCCTTTTGCTCCTAAAGTGGAAATTTTTATCCAATTTTGAACAACTCCATTTACATCTCCAGGTTTTGCTCTATCTCTCTCCTTAGATCCCTCCAATATTGTGATTGTTCTTATCTGTGTATAGTTTTTGATGGTTCGCGTGAATCTTACTAGCCTTCTCGTACGATTTCTGCTCTAGGAACCCTTATTTAAGCTTATATCAGTGATTTTTTACCCCTAGATTCATCTATTTCCGAGAGGAATATAGCTTTCGTTTCTGTCAATTTCTAGAGTTCCAACGAACCTTGCTTGAACTATGAAATCTTGATCTACCCAAGTTGATTAGAGTAAGCATAGTTGATGTTGATGAGCTTGTATTCTGTAATTGTGCTCAAAGCAAAACGATTTGTTGCCTGTGTTGCAGGGATATAATACTTGGTTGAGCAGAAATGAGTGCTACAGCTCATAGGACTCCTAAATCAGGGAGGCAATCTCTGCTCTTTCAAGATTTAGCTTCTCCGGTTTCAGCACGCAGAGGTAAATTCTCGAGCCCTGGACAGGCAGCTGCGGTATCTGCACTATGGCGCGAGAATTTCGGAGGGTCGGATCTTCCACCACCTCCAATGTATACTTTGGATGACCGGTCGGATTTCTCTCCTGAGTCAGGCATTGCAGACTACTCGGTGTCTCCAGATGCCAAATCCGATAGGCGGACGCCTTTCCAGAGTTCTGGGAAAAATGTTGCAACTCCTAGTAAAGGAAATTTAGAAGCAAGCCCATCTTTTTCTCTACTGAGTGCACAACAGAGTCAGCAAGCTTCAGGGAGTACGAGTTGGTGGTCGCAGCCAAAGGCAGGTAGTAGTACCGAGCAGGATGATAAAGGAAAGGGATCTCCTGTTGAAGGAGTGATTCAGCCAGGTGCTTTGGTCACTCTTCCGCCGCCAAGAGAAGTTGCTAGGCCAGAGGTTCAGAGGCAGATCATACCAACAGGAAACATTGAAGAGGAAGAATGGGTCACTGTCTATGGGTAAGGCCTTTTAAGCTTCGTTGCTCTTGGCTTTCTCTTTTTCTCTGTGTTGTTGCTTTGCGGTTGTGCATGCTCTTTATCTGTCAACGTTCTTGCGTTTCTGAAATTCTAGATGCATGGTTAGTAACTGGTAGTGTGGTATATTGGTAGTGTTATCTGTCTCCCATGTCTTTGAGCTTTAGAGAACCGTTCATAATAACAGCTGTTGTTTACACTCTTTGTTTGTCAACCTTCATGTGTCTATGAAACTCTGGGTGCACCAAATACTTAAATATGGCTCTGCCTTTTATTATGATTTTATTTTGGGGAATTGTGGATTCTGACTCTTTACATAGATAATAACTGGTATAGTGGTAGTGTAATTTAGGGCCTTATCTTGTGTCAGCCTCCCATGTTCTCTGTCTCAAGAACTGATCATAATAATTGCTTTCAGATTTTCTCCAGGTGATACGAATTTGGTACTAAGGGAGTTTGAAAAGTGCGGTATGATCTTGAAACATGTTCCTGGTCCAAGGAATGCTAACTGGATGCACATCCTCTATCAGGTTACTCTTTTCCCCTTCAAACCTGTTTGATGCATGATGATAAGCAATCGTAGTTCTCCAATATAAATCGTCATACATTATGATATAATCGAATCTTCTGAATGAATCAAATTGCAAAACTGAACAATGGTCTTGTGTATTCGATGCAGAACCGGTCTGATGCACATAAGGCGCTAAGCAAAGCCGGGATGATGATCAATGGAGTGGTAATAGTAGGAGTAAAGCCAGTAGATCCAATACAGAAGCAAGCCTTAAACGAAAGACTCAACAACCAAGGATTCATGCCTTTACCTCCACCATCATCAACTAGAGACTCTGAGTTTAACACAGCGAGGACCTCCTCTCGTCCTCACTACTTGCAAAACGGAAGCGCTTTCTCCCCTCAACCAAGTGGCGGCGCCATGGCCACTCCGTCAAAGTCCATGGTCTCAAAGTTCTTTGACTTGATGTTCGGTGTTTAAATCTTCTTCGAATTGGCAATTTCCCTGAGTGGTCCTTTTATACAGTTAATTGAAGTTTTGAGAGCAGAGTGGATAGTAAATTCAGAGCGTGATCAAAATTTAAAATTGTAACAGTTGTCTCCAAAATGTCTTTGTATTGACATTGACAACTATAATTGGTACAAATTTGTTTTAAAATCTCTTCTTTAAGCACTTGTATACTTATTTGTTTGTATTTGAGCAGACAAAGGTCGTGCTTCGTGAAGAACAACCACTAATTACGAGCGCGACACTGATTACATGGAACTGAGAAGCCTCACGGGTTGTGTTTAGAACCTCCACTAGAAACTAGCCACGTGTCCAGAGTTATGTGTTTATAAATCAGTCTTAGGCTCGTGTTAGCTTCATTCTGTAGTTAGAACACAATGGCGAAAGCAACAGAGCAGAAACAAAACTCTCTAACCGTGGAAGAGACCAAGCTTGATGTCCACGAAGTCACCACTTACGGCGAGGATAACCGTCACGGAAGCCGACGCAACGACGTGGCAATGGTCGTATTAAGAGCCATGTGTATGGCCGTATCGACGGTGGCTGTGTCGTTAATGGTGACAGCTCGTGAAACTAGCATGACCACTCTCTACGGTTTTGAGTTTCAGCTCCACGCCGTTTGGTCTCTCTCAGATTCCCTAATGTAAGTTTTATACAATTTTCACAATCATAC